TTTTGTGTTTGCTAAATTTTACGCGTTTGACACAATGAGAATAGCTGCACGAAAATTGCTTGAGCGAGCCAAAATGACTCTTCGTACAGTGGCATTTCGCCCAGTTGCATCAAAGGGCCGCATAATTTAAATGAGGGTTACAAAATGAGGAAATACCAGAAAATTAAGAGCAAAACCTTTCATGCCAATTCACTTGGATTTTTTCAGTTCATATTCATGCAAAAAAGTGTCACAAGTTGTAAACGTTTCATTTTAAATGCAGGTGATTGTCAGTGCATGTTTTTTTTGTTTTTTTATGTTATGTCTTATGTTATGTTTTATGTTTTTATGTTTTATGTTATGTTTTTTATGTTATGTCAGTGCATGTTTTTTTTATCATATGGTAATCGACTACCTACGTGAGCGTGCAGCGGCGTAATCGTTACAATTCTAGTCACAAAGGTCGTTCAGGTCATAAAAAGCGGGTGACCTTTCGGCAAAAATCGTTAGGTACGCAATATATATTTTTTCGATGTCGTATGGTCCGTCGGTAATACCTTGGCTAGAAAAGCACGAGCCAGAAGAATTTAGAGGATCAATACTCAACATTGCATTCTTCGTTCTTGAATAGCAGGTGCCGCGGATTGAATTTTTTACAGGGTGGGTTGCGAACTTACAGTAGGATTTAGCTCTGACCGAAACTTCTGTAATTCAAATTGAAACACATTACGCCTAACCAGTAAAATGGACGAGGATATGAACATCGTATAAATGAGTAGATATCACGCATTAACGGAACTGAAATAGCAACCCTATTCATGTACAGTATGTTTCAACGATTTTCCCACATCTTAGATTTAAACAAGCATGGTAGTATTGAGTTTAAAATTTACAACGTCAAATATCAAGCAAAAATAAATAGACATTAACATATTCTTGAGAATTGTGCTAAAAAATGGCAATATATTTGCCAACTTTTGCTATTGCGCTAGAAGTTTCTGTTTCCGATTCAGCCGGTCCCAAAACGATCACATACACGACCATTAATATATACATCATTGAGTTTTTGTCACGTTTTTATTGCTCTGAAATGAAATTATACATCCGACTAGCAATTACACATCCAACTATAGAGCAACTCTGCACTATACTGTATCCGCTTGAAAATTTATTTTTTTATTGAAAGAGTTTCGGTTAATTTCTTTGCTTTGCGCCAAGCGCCTACCTCCTGCACCGATTTCAATTGGACCGTTTGAAGATAGAAGAACACGAATGCCAAATGTTTGAGCTCGAGAATTCTGTTCGGATTTATGTGTTCCCGAGCTACTACCGTCCTGGCCCCATAATTTCAAAAAAAAGTTAAGAGATCGTAAGTTTATCAGCCAATCATTGACGGCCTTTCAAGCAAAATCCACCAATCATAGACAAGAAAATAGAGCATAAGTAATTACGTTCACTTAAAGAGTTTTGAAGGTATGGCCCCTGAGATCTATGTTCAATGCACCGATAAAATGCAATTTTTTAACATTCATGCCATTATTGCAAACGGGTTTAGTGGTAACTGTATTAAAAAAAATCCAGCTTACATACCGTAACTATAATGTATCATACATTTTAACGTATGATTCCTAATGTACCATAATGTGGTCCAATTTTTTTCATTTTCATCGTGCCGCATCTATTTCAAAACTATATACATTATGTTTCGTCTCTCGACTAGAACTAAACGCCCCTCTGTACATCAATTCAATTAAACAAAATTCTAGATGAATTCTATGCATTAGTTCACGGTTCTTCAAAAAGATGCGTGGTAGTGGATTTTGTGCGCGAATCTTTAACTGTGAATCCAATACGAAATAATCTCAACCTTATCGTAAAGTCAAAAATATAAATGGTCGAAAAAATTCTTATTTGTTTTTCAGAATTGCAATGCAAAATATTACAAAATTTTGTATCCGAATGAAACGTTAGAATTACATTGATTTCGTCGTTGAGAAGTAATTTTTGCCCTGCAATATTTCCTTTACTGACTTTTAAGTTGAGGCTTCTCGATGCGAAGCTCTACGGTATTGTAAAGCCTTGCCATATAAATGAAATCTTCGTAATATACAAGCACATACCGGTACTCCTCAAATGGTACATTGTATTGATGCCTCACAATTGACAGGAAATTTCTATGTTACAATGATAACTACATCAAACATCGAGACAATATATATTACACCAAGCAAATTCGGAGACATATCGAATTAATTTTTTGTTCATTTTGTTGCGAAAAAATCTACACGTAGTCCAGGTTGTTCCTTTAGGACTTCGGTGTCTTCGGTGATACTAAATCAGCATTGATGAATCAAGTCCGATTATTTCTAATTAGGCGACAACAAGATTACTTCGCATTGCTACCGTGCATGCGCAAATAGAATAAAGTATTATGTATTGTATTACTCGTCATTCTTGTGTAGTACACATGAATGACGCTATGAGATTGCGATGTAAGAATAATATCTGTAATTAGGAACTCGAGCATTGACCCGCAATTCCCAGAAGAGATTAGTCCGTATCAAAATAAATTGCCAAGCAGCTGAAAAGAACTATACGCGACGAGACTAAATTTATCCTTATAACAATGACGGACATCTAATTAGCCGGAGTCGAGACTAAGGATATGTGTCATTAATATATGATGATTTTCTCTAGTTTATAACAAAGGATAGACCAATTTAGCAGTCAAAGCTGGATATTATTCCTCCTGAAGTCAGGCATTAGCAAGTGACCAACACCAAACAATAATAATTCAGCGATATTATGCTCACATTTTCTTATACCCCGTTAACGTTCCCCTGGCTCTCCATGATGTCTAGAAGTTCCAAACATTAATTTACAGTTGCGACAAAAATTCTCCTACCAATTTGAATGAGGCTACGCATGACCGACGCATAATACTGGCTCTAGCTGATAAGTTTTCCGGCAGAAGGAATCCAAACTTCATTAATTGTCACTGTTTGAGATAATTTCAGGATTATCAATGCCTGATTTTTTATTTATGCAATTATTTTGGCACCGATGGGCTGACCAAGAATTCGTAAGGAAATGTGGCTCTCAATTCTTGTAATTGTTTGAACCTAATCATCGCATGAATATGGGACAATATAAAAGTATATGAATAAAATGACAATAATTATTACTATTAATATTATTTTTATACATTTTTTCATTTATCGTTATGATGCTCATATAAAAAAAATAACCCATACATTTCAGTCCTTACACGCCTTTTAATACGTGAACGAACGATTTTTGTGACGACTGCTGCACAATATTTTTTTCAGAAAATGCAATAGAAGAGTTTGTGAATCATGACATTTTCTGAAGGTTGAATATAGTTTTTAAGATGGAAAATCTTCGACGCTTTACTATAGCTGGTGCGAGCAGAGGACGATATAGTCGGCCCTCAGAGATCCGAATGTGATATTTGAGTGAAAAACTCGGTTTTCAGAGCAAAAATTTTAACTCGTATATCAGGCCGTGATTCATCGAGCGGAAGGGATTGTGTATGAGAGTGGGTGAATGAATATCGAAACATCAAAAATTATTTTTTCGGTTGATTACTAACATTTTTTGCTGCGTATTTACTAATTTACTCTTTGTTTTCTCTTTACTATACGCGTTATATTATGTACAAATCTGAATATTATTTAGATAATAGACGATGAAACACCCTGCAATATCTGATGAATATTGCAATATTCTAACATTAATTCTAGAAGTCTTCGAATGGTTGCACCCACTCATATTGCCAACAATTTAAAAAAAAAATATTTTTATGCATGTTTTTCTGTGGATGGAATATTAGAAAAAACATCTTATTGTACTTCCCGAGTGAAATTTTGCGCAAATTCACGAACTTTATCATATGGTAATTCATAACATAACATAACATAACATAACATAACATAACATAACATAACATAACATAACATAACATAACATAACCTCCTCCTCCACATCAGTAACGGCCAGAGACATTAAAAAATTTTTTTCGGGTCAAATCGGTTAGTACCTGCATCAAATACCCCCACGCTACTCGTCCAATCCATTGCATTTGTACCGTCAGCATGCAGCCCGAACTTGCCTGCCACAGATATATTCATATATCGTTGTTCCCACACCTTTTTTACTTTACATAATTGAACACGGGGTCGTACCGACCGCACGTGGTTTACTCATAAATCGATTAGCCTAACCGTTTTATTTTTACATTCAACACTGCTTGTGCCCGTACCAGCAACAGATAGTCATTAAGCATTGATCATTTACCTTTCATTCATTCATTCATACACTTTACGCTGCTTAACATAACATAACATAACATAACATAACATAACATAACATAACATAACATAACATAACATAACATAACATAACATAACATAACATAACAACATAGTGATGATGGCGCTGAAGAGTAGGCCTGATGTGGCCTGTCGCCGATTCTTGTACTTGTTCATATTGTACCCTTACGTGTTATAGATTTTATCGTGTTCTAATCAATTGCTGTCCTCATCCTTAATACATTATAGTACTTCGGAGGTACTAATACTCCTCCACATTATTACCAGCCAGAGACATTAAAAAAATTCGGGTCAAACCGGCTCGTACCTGCATCAAATATCCCCACGCTACTCGTCCATTCCATTGCATTTGTATCGTCAGCATGCAGCCCGAACGTGTCTGCCACAGATATATTCATGTATCGTTGTTCCCACACCTTTTTTACTTTACATAATTGAACACGGGGTCGTACCGACCGCACGTGTTTTACTCATAAATCGATTATCCTATCCATTTTATTCGTACATTCAACACTGCTTGTGCCCGTACCAGCAACAGATAGTCATTAAGCATTGATCATTTACCTTTCATTCATTCATTCATACACTTTACGCTGCAGTTGATGATACAGGCCACCAGCATTTTTTCATAAATTTTTGATCCAATTAATTTTATTTACACAGTTTTAGCTTAATTTGCATCCGCCGCAGGTGTTCTCATGGATTGCAGTGTTCGTGTTGCCCCTGAACGCTGCGGTGAACCCCGTACTGTACACGCTGTCTACGCAGCCCGTCAGAAAGAGGTTGCATGGTTTGCTCACTGCCCTAGCCGGCCCGCAGTCCAAGCACGTCCGCAAGCCTTCCACTCTCTCAGGTCAGTTCATTTGAAACATTTCTACTCACCCTATGATCCGTCAGTTAACAGGTACCCAGAGTTCGTTTAGAGACCAGCCCAAGGCTATGCTGTAAGCAGCACTCATTGATTGTAACTCAGAAACAGTGGCCATACTGTTAAATTTATTTACTCACTCGGATTAGACGCTTTCTTTTAGTAAAACTAATGTATGTTATTAAAGAAAGACAAATTTATAATTCGTATAAACTTAAAATTCTGATTTGACTCTCATTTGCGAACAAACTCTTTTGAGAACATTTGAGAACATAAATTCAAACAAGTAAATTTCTATTTATTATCCGGTCCTTTCCTCCCTGTTCTGCAGTGCTCCTCTATTCTTCCAACAAATCTTGCAGCGATAAGTTAACATTCTTCTGGATTCATGGCTACATGAATGTGAAACTAACATTTTCAAGAAACGAATATTTTAAAAGCTTAGACCAGGCGTCAGATAAAGGCTTAAATCAAACGAAGAAATCAAATGACTAAAAATATTTTTTGTTTCAGTGAGCAGCAACTGGAAGAACTCCATGCGTTTCCATGTGGTGACAGAAGCAAGCGAATATCAAACGACGACGTCACACGCTAACAGCCAGCGGCGCTTGGACGTAACAAGGGAGTCAACACGGCGATCTGCCGGCGGTAGCGTCCGGTCTAAGTCATCTTGTTCAGCCACGATCCCTGGGGTTACACCTTACAGCCGTAATCGAGAAGAAAATACGAAGCCAATGGACAGCTATCTCGGCTCCAGAGGCGACATTGAGATAAGACTCGCGGATGAGGAAGACACAAATGAAGTTCAATCATCCGCAACGCTCTCCAAATTTGAGAAATGGTTGCCCAGTGGCTGGAGGAAAAGAAAAAGTATAAATCGAAAAAGTGGGAATTGCAAAAATTTAGTTAAATTAGATTCCACTGGCAGTCGAAACAGTGAAAAAGGTGTCGAAACAGAGTCCCGAAAATGGCCTTCTCAAGATTCAAGGAAATCTATAAACGGTAACAGAAACATCGCACGTTCTTGTTTGAACCGCGAAGTGACCGTCATTGTTAGTGACGACGATAACCGCGCGAGCGTTGCTGAGATAATCCCGCTAAACGAAATTGAAAATGACTGCTTCAAAACCAAGAAGATTACGAGTAAACAACGAAAAATGGGCACGTCAAGATATGACTAACAATGAGTTTGACCTAATGTGCAGTGTAAATAATTCCATACACATGGTAGCTTACCCATGAGCTTTTACTCATATGAAAACAAATAACTCAAGTGAATCAAAAGTTATAGGGAAATTATAATAATCATGGAATTGTTTGGCGCCGTTAATTCTAGCGCTTCGTTTTTGTTCATGTATAGAGAAAATGTTAATATTTTGGAAAAAAGAGTGATAATTGTATATTTGAAAGTGAATGGACGTCATTTCGTCACGGAATTCGAATCCCAAGATGGAGGAGTGAAAAAAGTGATTACACGTGATGACGTATGTTTTCTTGCAAGTTGAAACATATGTATATGATATAATTATAATGATTAATGATAGAATCATATTTTTCATTGAATCATCGAATTTTTCCTTACTATATAATGATGGAACGATGCGAAAATATTAACGACAGCTTATCATTCGCCTACATAGATATTTTTAAATAGAAATCTTAGTACTTCGAAGATATGGAAGCTCATTAACGGTCTCGAAAAGTTCACGAGAAACTTAGACGAATTCAAGCGTTGTGAAAGTATAATATTTAGTAGATGTAATTGTAAATCGAAATTTGCCGAAAAAAATTTTCATGATCCATATGGAATTCTGAAGCATAATTTTTTAAATTCATTTTATTTACTCGTAATTTATTTACTTGCACGAGAAAAATTTATGAATGGAACATTTATATTTTCTCATACTTATTTAAAAAATCAATGCAATTTGAATTACCAGTTACGTCCGCATTTGATACTTATAAACGAAATTAACTTACTTTTCTAAGATTCGATGCATCCGCGATTTATAAAGAAATTTTTTGTTAATTCACGCAATTTTTCCTTTTGGTTGAACAAAGTTAATATTTTTCTGGCTTCCAATCGACCTGACAACAATGAACCAAATATATAATATAATATAGTATAATGAATAGTTTATTACTGTGTTTGTATATGTGGATGATTACTGACCGTTTGTAACTGATACTTGCTTCTATAAAAAATATTTAAAAATATTCTACTGCCTATTCGCATAGCCTTTCTTTCACTATTTTACATTTCACCTGTAATATTATTCATGTTATGCTATTCTAGTAACCACATAGAAATTCACACTCAATACATTTCAGCTGCAGTCATAATGGATGATACATCTACGATGCGAACAACAACGATGGATTTCCTTTGAATGTAAAACGATCGAAGAAAATTTGTTACCACATCAGTCTAGTCGATCAAATAACTTTATAACGAATAAGAACAGGCCATTTCATCGATAATTACTCATTAATGTTTGTTTGTACATATTATTTATTGAATTCGTCAGACGAGTCTCTTCAAAACAATGATTAAAAGCTTTCCTTCCATTTTATTTTTGAATGCAATATTATCACATTAGACTTATTAAAAATGTGCAATTAATTACAGTAAAGTTTTCAAGCGAAAGATTACGCAGATCTTAACGAATTTCAAAAGAAATTATGTTAGCTTATTGCAATGAATTTCAACTACAAACCTTTTACGTTGGATGAATCATTATTATTGTGAACGTTAGTCCCAAGCATTAATCAAATCAATTAATCAATTTATGCCTATATTTTTTTTTGCTTTTTTTGACTGTGCAAATTTCATATTCAATAGTCCCAAGCTTGCCTAAATCTGAAATGTACCAGATTGGAAACATGCAGTACATGAATAGGCTTGATATTTTCAGCATGTTTATGCGGGATATCTACTCAATGAATAGCGACAAAAATGTTTAAGTTTATCGAATAAATTTATTGCTTCAAATCATCAATTACAAGGCGGCAGCACAAAAGAAGCAACACTTCTTATCCTCAATAAAGTAGAATAATTATGCGTAATTCTGTAGAGGCTATTTATGCATGAGGATTTCCTTAAACATTTTGAACACAATTACTATCTTTACCAAAATTATGGAATGCATCTCTGTTGACTTCTAGGCTAAAAAATCTTGAAAAAATGCTTTCTTTGAATCAATGCTAGTGGAAAGTACATAGTTTTTCTAAATTTGTTTGAGTTCATAGAATAAAGTTTACAAATAATATTCTTGATCTCAGCCCATGTATTATTTCATCTTTGTTATTTTTAGTACAGAAGAAGAGACAGTCTTTACATGTGCTGGCTGTTAAATATTGATGATGAAATATATCGCTTAGATTAATTCAAATATTGTATTTGTACTTCACATGTGCTATCATGAATTGTAGTGGGAGATTTTTTATCTGTGTGCTTACATATACAATATGTTATGATATGATTAATTTCCGGCTATTTATTATCATATTCAATATTATTATGCGCGAAAATTTGCAGAGTATTTTCATGTTTATCATGGACGATGTTGCGATTTCTTGACCTCGAATGGAACAAGAGATTCAACGTATAAATTTTAAACAAACCTTATAACTTATTATTCACATCATCCTCATATGCCTTTCTTTGTTTTATTTTCATTTTCGTTAGTAATTTATTTAAGAATTAAACCTTCTTCGAGTTCAATTTTTTTTTGTTCGGATTCCGTGAGTTTAATCGGGAATGAGTATGGTTTGGAAACAATTCCTCAATAAATCGAAAGCTTGTAAATTTGCGAATACGAATTGCAAATCTATTTTAAGTGCAGCAGAGCAAGATACTATGCCATTGTGATCAGTTAAGAGAAAATCTCATAGCTTAGGCAGCATTCTTTACCCGGCAGGCTTGGAATACCGACCCCGGCAGCGAACTCATTAGCGAGGCTCTCTCTCACCTAGCCTGCTGCATCCACGGCCACATGCTGAGTGTGCTAGCACCTACATAGTGGAACATGATACTTTACTGCATCCAGGATCAAATACTGCTAGCAGCCACATAGTGGAACATGATACTTTACTGCATCCAGGATCAAATGCTGCTAGCAGCCACATAGAGAAATTAGCAGCCACTTAGTGGAACATGATAGTCTATTGCATCCAGGATCAAATACTGCTAGCAGCCACTTAGTGGAACATGATAGTCTATTGCATCCAGGATCAAATGCTGCTAGCAGCCACTTAGTGGAACATGATAGTCTATTGCATCCAGGATCAAATACTGCTAGCAGCCACTTAGAGGAACATGATAGTCTACTGCATCCAGGATCAAATGCTGCTAGCAGCCACATAGAGGAACATGATAGTCTACTGCATCCAGGATCAAATGCTGATAGCAGCCACATAGTGGAACATGATAGTTTACTTCATCCAGGATCAAATGCTGCTAGCAGCCACATAGAGAAACATGATAGTCTACTGCATCCAGGATCAAATGCTGATAGCAGCCACATAGTGGAACATGATAGTCTACTGCATGCAGGATCAAATGCTGCTAGCAGCCACATAGAGGAACATGATAGTCAACTGCATCCAGGATCAAATGCTGCTAGCAGCCACATAGAGGAACATGATACTTTACTGCATCCAGGATCAAATGCTGCTAGCAGCCACATAGTGGAACATGATAGTCAACTGCATCCACGGCCACATGCTGGCTAGCAGCCACATAGTGAAACATGATAGTCTATTGCATCCACGGCCACATGCTAGCTAGCAGCCACATAGAGGCTGATAGCTAGATTGAAAAAAGTAAAATTAAAAGTATGGATAAATTTCAAGGTGTAAGAGAGTAGATTATTGCGGTTGTATAAAGATGATTTGATGTCAAGATTTAAAAATGGGCATTGACGGAAAATTGAATGAATCAAATGGAGGCGAGTTTAATGAAGCCTGTGGACTGGGCCTATAAATTCCTCCTTTTCGGCTCGAGACTTCATTCGAACTTTAAATTGAATCTGAGTGAAAATAATCGGGTCGACTGGTTACTAACTTGACGATGATTTAATTTCCAGTCAAGTTTTTAACTTCACAGCATCAATTTTTTATTAAATGGACATTCATCCCCACCGATATGAATGTCGATTTAATTTCAATTTATGCCTTGATAAATCTCTTCGTTTCTGCAGACGAGGACCGAGCATATGAATCATTTATTATGTTTTCTGAAATGAAAGAAGACAAAAACTAAACGAAGAAATCAAGCGATCCATGCAAAGGTAGCCTTAAAGTCACTCTCGCAGAACATTGAACAGCCTCTTCATTGTGCTCAAAACTATTGCAAAAGAAATATATAAAATAACCTTCAAGCATCAATAAAAGAACGAAACTATGTAATCGCACATCAATTATTCAAATATTTTACGCTCATTTTCGCATGCATAAGGAAAATAAATCCAATTTCATTAGTGAGTTTCTTACTCGAAGATTGCCGAATGGAATGTATCTTGAATATACAAAAAACGCAGTTAAATGAGTTTCCAATATTCGGCCTGAGCACTCAATGAACGACTTGATCTTTTTTGACATAAAATGTTAATGCAGAAATAAAAACTTTCTTCAAGTGCCTGATAGTTTCCTAATGAGCCTGTCAGAATTGTCAATGATTATTTTTATCTAATATCTCAATAATATCCAGAACCCGACAGCGAAGGTTTATTCACCAAATATCCTTCCCTCTGAATGTCCCTTTGACCGCCTTTCCCTCGTAGCGCCAGAACTCTAAAAGCCTTTCTAAAAGCCTTTTTGTATTTCAAAAAAATATTGGAGCAAATATCTTTACCATGGTATATATTGACGTTTACCGTTATCGGGTAAATTTAATCATCATTTATATTGCCTTTCAAGAAATTTTATCCTCGTGCTTAAAGATTGCTTGGAAAATTATATTTGAATTTTAGGGACATTTTTATTTATGTATGTTCCACTGTGCATACTACCGCATTTAAGTTTTAATCACTGCGCTAAAAACCTTGCATCAGAAATATTGGTGCACATTATAGGCTTTCAAACTAATAGCATTCTTAAATTATTTGAGGATACAAAAAAAATACAGTTTCGCTTGGACGAGTCATCAGTTTGTAATGATATATACAAAGAGAAATTGTTTCTTTTGCCCGAATTAGTCGCAACAATAATTTGAGGACAAATACTTTTTAAACAGTAAATAATAAAAGCAGAAATGTAAAATCTATACCACGATTCGTTCATCATAACTGTCAATGAACTGTGGGGTAAGTGCCATTC